ACACAGGACACACACACACACACACACACACACACACATTTCCATACCAAGCTAACTGCTATTCATCCTCTGGAATTCAGTGAAATCATCCTTTACTCCAAGAAAACTTATGTATGACTACCAAGACAGAGTTAGCTACTCTTTCTGTTCCTTCCAAAGCTTCTTATGCTTACTTCCTTATTGGAGAATTTAAATTGCCTATGGACTTGTTTTTCCTCCCTCATTAGCTATATGTTATTTGAGAACCAGGTCCATATCTTTTTTTCAAAATTGTATGCCTACTGTCTAGCACAGTATCTGGCATATAACAGGTACTCTTGTTGAATTTACTGAAATGAGACTGTGGCATAATTAAATTAATTTAAAAATGATCATTCTCTTTCCAGAAGATTTTGTTCTTGGACAATAGCAAGACACATATGAGACATACAGATTGCTTTTAGCATCTATAATCATAAACACTCTGATAGGAAAAGTGGCAAAAAATGAAAGCAAATTCCAAAAGAACAAAGACAGTTAGCCTTTAAAGATGAAAAAGTTCAAGATCTGTAACTTAGCACCTATATACCTAGAAAAGATTTTTTTAATAATAAGTTCCAATGCTGATTAGTGTTTGAAGAAAACAAAATTCTCAAATACTACTGACGGGAATGCAAAATACATTACCTTTTGGGGTATATTTTTTCAATAACTGTACAGTGTCTTAAAAAAGTTTATACCTTTAATCTAGAAACTCCACAGATAGAAACGTAGTAAAAGAAAATGCATCATGAGAAAATATACATATGTATCACTTTACTATGGAGATAATAACCACAAAAGCTTTTCTGTCACCAAATAAAAATAATCTCTATATGCAATAATAGACTGAGTAAAAGAACTGTAATGAAATAATATTTAGTCATTGAAAAGGATAAAAAGCATATTTACAGATATAGAAAAAGGTTCAAAATATATAAATGATAAAAAGCTTAGCAAATGTAATCCATTTGTAATCTCATGTATCCAAGATGTAATCTCATTTTTGTATGAGTATATGTATGTGTATACATATACATATCATCATGTATATATACATATACACATACATATACATACATATACATATATATGTATATATACATATATACGTATATATATACAGCTAGAAGATTAAATAATAAAATGTTGACAGTAATTGTTTTTGTTTAAAGAGTTGCTTGCCATTTTGGCTTTGTCTCTTGCAGTGTGGGGTTTTTATTTACTTATTTATTTATTTATTTTATTTCTACAATGTGTTATTTTTATAATAAGACAAAAATAAAATTTTAAAGAATCAAAATCAAAAAGCAGGCCTCCAATAAATCAGTCACTTACTGCTGTAAAACTAATTTATTTTGACCTTAAGGCATCCAAAATATTAACAACGTGGTCTCACCATATATATTTATATAAATGTCCTCTTCAAAGTAGCAAATGCCCTTGTCATATTTAACTGACAGCTGTTCGTATATACATCCAATGATTTTGTATTTAAGAGATACATGTCTGTTCCAAGAAAACTGCTGAATCACACAACTCAAGGTCAAGGCAATTCATATATCCTGCAACATCATTACCCAGCTCCTACTAAGTGCCAGGCTCTCTATTCATCATGGTCCAGGACTAATATTCCCCTTCACTCCTATAAAATAATAACTCAAAATTTGTTCCAGTGTGGTTTTTTTTAAGTTTATTAAAGACTTTATGTATTTGAGAGAGAGAGAGAGAGAAAGCAGGGGAGGGGGGTTGAGGGAGAGGACGAGCAGGCTCCCCACTGAGCAGGGAGCCCAATTCAGGGCTCCGTCCCAGGACCCTGGGATCATGACCTTAGCCAAAGGCAGATGCTTGACCAACTGAGTCACCCAGATGCCCCATTTCCAGTGTTTTTAATGAGTAAAAAACACTTCCTACCAGCTTACAAATTTGTGGTTCCTTTCTATACAGTGATGAAGCCATCGGGATGACAAATAGTTTGAGCTGTTTTCCCAAGTGGAAAAATAAATTCATACCCAATCTTTGTCCCCTCCTCACTCTCTTGGCTGTGTGACCAAAAGCAACCATTTGCAACATAGCTTGCTGCAGGGGAGAGCTTCTACCTGTGTTCAAGAACCAGAGCAAAATCAACTGTCTCGCTTTTGATCAAACCCATACCTCAGTCCTCATTATTCTATTGAATAACAAAATATCTTACTATTCTAATGAACTAAGATCACTTGTCCCATTGGTCTCTAGAACGGAAGTAGTAGACCAGAAGTAAAGTTTTACAGGACGCACAATCACTCAGTGACAGATTGTCAGAGAAGCAAATATGGAGGTCTTCAACCCCCAAAACAGAACATATGCTTTGACAAGCGACATAAGACGTCCATGAAGAAAGATGTTGGGAGGCTGCAGATCTCATAAAATCTGGACTAGAAGTTCACCACACGCGAAAAGACCGCTCCTACTCCAACCACCCCCACTCCATCCACCTTTTAGGAACATTTCATCTCCAACAACAAGAAATAAGAAGCCTGGGGCTCAGTGCAAAGAAATGGAATTAGAAACAGTGCCTTGCTCCAAAGCTTCTGCCCGCTGCAGTCAAGCCAGCATTCCCAGCTCCCCCTCACCTCACCTTGCCGGCAAGAGCCCAGCATTGCCAGCACATGCCCTTGGCCTCAGGCTCAATGACTGTGGCATTAGTGTATAATCCTCAGTTCAGCTTCTCTTGAACCCTCTGACCCTTCTCAGCAAGTCTCCCTGGGCTCCAAAGGAAGCCAGTCCACACCGTATCCACTGTCTAGTCCCTTCCCTAATGTTCTGCCCCTTTCTTTGTTCTCCTGCAGATCAGCTCGTTATATAACTTAACTGGGTCCTGAATCTTATCTGGACCATGGCAGACTCAGATAGTAGAAATGATCTCCCCGTAAAATAAATTCATGGGGTCATTTAACAGAGTCGCTGCAGGGGCCCAGCTGAGAGCTGCCAAAACCTAGTTTCCCTTTATCTTTCCTTTTGTTCCATTTTCTTTTCATTTAATGTTAATGTGGCTGGGCTTTTCAGAACAGGTGACTCTAGCTATATTAATAAAGCAAGGTGTGATAGCATCTTCCATGACTTCAGATGTCAAACACTGAGGAGAAGAGGGAAAAGTACTCTTAAATGACCACATCCTCTTAATAACATTCCAAGGGAGAGACCGCTTATCTTGATTTTAATTTTTCAGTCTCCTTTCATCTCGTCCTCCAAAAATATGGCTGAGAGCAAGATCACCCATGAAGCACTTATCGGAAAGACATTAACTAACATCGGGGGGAGCCAGCTGGAGTATGGGGCAGATTGAGGGCAAGGACTAGAGGGGGGAAAGTGACAATGGTACTTGATGAGAATACATTGTCTACTTTGTAAGGCCAGGCATCATTTATAAGCACAGACTTGAAGACATTCAAATATTAAAGTTATTTGAACAAAGCGTGGCCTGAAATTCACCGCTGAATTTCCTCTGAAGAAAGAGCTAATCAAGCAAAATGCTTATGACAGACAAACTTAGGGAGAGAGTGTTTAACTTATTTAGAAATTTAAATTGTTTTCAGTCCCCAAAGAAGCTTTGATTTAAAAAACAATTGTACCTGTGTTTAAACTGTGGCTTTAAGCCTCTGTTGGCCAACATGACAACATCTCCCTTTATGTGAAAGCCAGACTTCTAGAAACGTCAACATTGGTCAGTGTTGCTCAGAGTGAATGATCCATGAACCACCTGTATAGAAAAGAAACACCTGGAGTCCTAGGCAGGTCTAGGCCCCATTCTCCCTTAGTCTCCATCATCCCCACCCCTTTCCTGACCTCCAGAACCAGAATCTCTTCTAAGATTTAGTCTGGAGTCTAGAAGCCCTTCCAGGAAGGCATTTCTGGCAGCATGGATGGATAAATGTCATCAGACTGAATTTGGCCTATAAAAGACTTCTATCCAAGGACATCCACTACTAGCTATTGATACCTGGATATGACCATCAGCACTTCCACTTCCTAAAGAGAAACTATGGAGCCCAACAAGGCTTCTAGATCAAATGTAACGGAAGAAGTTAGGAATTAAAGACCAGAGACAATGACTGCCTCTTCGTAGCAAAGGTTCAAGTCCAAAGACAGAAATCCTGAAACAAAGATCAAAACCCAGGCAAAAAGGAAAAAATATATAGAAAGAACTGTACTTAGCGGCAAGATGGACACGGTGATGTGCCGAGGTCTTCTGAGGAAGGGGTTTGTCCGAGGCAGCTTGTCCTTGAGCTGTGTCAAGATGTGCTCGTATAAGCTCACAAGCACATCTGATTAACAAGAACAGACGAATACGCACTAAGAGCCCAAGCTACTCCCGACATCACTTCTCCCTGAACTCAGCATCATACAGGAGGTCCATAACAAGGCTTTGTGTTCAATGTGCAATGCCACCAATGGCCACAATTCATCATCACAGGGGAAGAGGACAGGGACACAGACATTTGGGAGGGGAAGGAGCTGACATCACATTATATCCCCAGGCCGAGTTTTAACAAGGGCAAGGTAACTCATCATTAGCCCGGTGTGTGGAAGTTCCGGCAACCAGAATACTCAAGCCTGGGCCCAGGAGAACAGACGCATCAGTAGAGGAAGTACTCTCATGGCTCAGTGCTGAGCAAATGGCAAGGCAAGAAGTGAGAGCAGAAGCCGGAGCTCTTCCCTCTCTGTGGTTTTCTCCAGCCCGTTAAGTAAACCAGCATTGCAGGCAGCATGAAATGACATAAAATCCACATTCTCTGAGACCCTAGAGGGGCACCACACTACCATACTACTTAATAGACCCCATTACACTAGGAAATAATTCATGTTATCTCCATTTTACAGATAAGAAAGCCAAGAGAAGATGAAGGATTTGCTCAAGAACATTTGTGACAAGTTTTTTCTTTCTTTCTTTTTTTCTTTCTCTCTCTCTCTCTCTCTCTTTTTTTTTTTTTTTTTGCCTTTGAAAAAATACGGAACACTTCACGAATTTGTGTGTCACTCTTGCACAGGGGCCATGCTCATCTCCGTATGGTTCCAGTTTTAGTATACATGCCGCCAAAGCGAGCACTCTGACAAATTCTCGTGCTCAAAACCCTCGTCACACATTTTTCAGAAGCTGCTTCTTTTATAGTAAAAAACAAATCACATGGCAATTCCATTACTTTGATCACAAAAAGGGGCTTTAGAAGTTGGACACATACGTACATATATAAACATGCGCCACCACAACCTCCATCTTGTATTGAGTTTGGGGAAAGAGAAAAGAATTTCCTGTGGATTTTCTTAAGTGCCCATCTCTTGTTCAACCCAAATTCTACAAGAAAACCACCGGGATTACAACATGCATAAAGCCTGCATCCATGTTCCAGAAGTACCAGAGACCACTCACACTTTGAACCCAGTTCTGTCCAACACCCAACAATGCTTTTTCCTACAACACCATGCTGCATCGTTACACTCCTTGTTCCTTCTGCCCCCTCCCCAACTCTGCCCACTTATGGGGATGTGACCCAAACTTCAAGACCCAGTTTGAGTTCTTACCTTCTACAGAAGACCTTGTATGGGCTATCAGCCTGTGCTACCCCCTTTCTGGTCACTTTATGGCCAGAAGGGACAGACTAAGCAGTCAGCACCAAGACAGGTGTTTAAGGGCAAAATCAGAGATGGTACAAGGCTAGGAAACTAGAAAAAGGAAATTAAAACAGAGTGAAAGCAGCCAAAACAGAGCTATGGCTGGTTCTAAGTCTAAGTAGCAGGCACGGCAACAAAAGTCATAAAGCTTTGCAGAAAATATTGAGGAGGAAAAGTCCATGAGTCAACCCCAGGGTTTGAGATGGCCAGTGCTAGCAGGGAGACCAAGTATGGGAACAGTGGTGATCTGGTCATTACAGAGTCAATCCCAAAGTTGCCTTGAGTGCCAGATGTCTTTTGCTACAGTGAGGCAGAGGGGATCGTGTCCACCTTCAGACCAAGGCAACGGAAACCCAGAATCTGACACCACAGTTTCAACCCACACCCCTCATCCAGAGATAGAGTGTTTCCTTGGCTCACAGCATGATTTTAAGGACACAGGAAATGGCACTGACGGTCTCCGTATTAACCACCACACCAATGCCTGAAACGTCATTGGTTGTGAAATAGAACTTAATGGCTTTTATGAAGGAGGAGCCTTGAAGTGCTATCAACTGGAAGGGAGGAATCGAGAACTCCTTCAGCAGAATCAGAGTGTGAAAAGGAAGAACTTGGCTCCAGAAAGGCAGAAAACACAGACATTGTAGACGGCAAAGTGGGAAAAAAGGAAGTCAGGCACTTCATAGTCTCCATTAGACCTTCATCAGCACAGCTCCAGATGCCCCCTCCTTCTCACATGAGTGAAACCGGCCCGGGGGTGGGTGGCAGGAATGGTCAGGGGCCAGCATCTGACAGAGGCTCCCTGTCCACCTGCACCCCCCGCATGCCGCTACAGACAACGGGAGACACGCATAACTGAGAGTAAGCTGGCCCCAAGTTTGCAGCCTAGAGATGTCCACATTATTCCTGCTGTCACTGATTTCCCTCTGTGGTGTTGGACAAGTGCCAAAACTTCTCTGTCCTTTCATTAATTCATGAACAATATGTCTAATCCCTGTCTCATAAGAATGTTGTGAGAATTAATGAGCTTATAAAAAACTGAACAAAACTGATATAAAAGTCCTTTGTATGCCCTAGAGATGCTATAAACGCCAGGTGATCTAATTTAAAATACAGATGAGTATTTCCATTTATATGAGCCAATATAAGAACATTCAACTTTACAGAGCAATGGTTAGTTGGTGATTCCAAAAAATGGTTAGGGGATAGGGGGCAGGGAGGTCCATGCGCAGAAAATGGAATATCCTGTAAATGGAAGAAAATTGATGTTGGGTACTCAGTTTAACATTTTTAATATCAACAAACTTCACTGAAGGCTTATGATGTGCTGTGCCATCTTAAGCATATATTATCTCAATTAATCCTCACAGTAATCCATTGGATGCGTTCTTAGTATCTCCCATTTCACAGATAAGAAAACAGAAATTCCTCCAGATTAAGTAACCAGCAAGCAATCACAGATCTAATCAGGGTGGAGACAAGATTCGAACCCCAGAACTGCTCGGCTTCTTAGTTATTTGTCTTTCCATTAAACCAGCTGCATCCCCAACACATACAGAGACCCCTAGAGCATGTAAAGTTTGTAGACTATTAACTGGTAAAAACACAAAACATAAATGAAACATGGCAGAGCCACTACGTGGCAAAGCTTAGAAATCTAAATGCTCGTTAGTGCTAAAGACAATACCTATGATAAATTATCCCTAAAATTAGATAAATCCAGAGGAGAATAAATAATACAAAATGTAGGAAATTCTTATTGGCACTTGCCCTTCCACTCAGTTCATTCCGGTAATCAGATTTATGCCGGTTTTTAGGGGTCCCGAATACCATCGCCCTTGGAAAAGGGCAACTCTTGCCTGGGAATCCAGCCTCCTCCAGCCCCATATCCCTACAGCCTTGGGCAGGTCAGATTTGCTCTCAGGAAAACCCAGTACAATTCAGACAACACTGACAGGGCCAGTCAAGCATCAGGCATTGGCCCGACGGCCCCTTCCAGCTAGCAGGGCCCCTCGGAAGCATGCATTAACAGTGCATTTTGCCCGCAGAAATGACAGTGTTCAATCCTTTCCTATGCCTCACTGCTGGCTGGGAAGAAGTGAAAGCGGCTCTAGGCGATGCTCAAAGGGTTCCTCATCACAAACCCAGCAAGCCCGGCTCTGACTTCCCTCTCTCTGCAGCCTGACGTCTCAGCCATCCGATGATTAACACGCCATCCTGCGAAGGGAGCAATCACCTCCTGGCCCCAAGGGGAGTTGGTGACCCTGGGCTTCCTCCAGCCCACGTGGTGTCCACCTGTTTCCTCTCTCTCCGTCATGCAGTTCTCAAGACACTGCCTAAAGCCCAGAAGCAGAGAAGAACGCAACCCTGAGCCCTAGGAGTGGAGCTGAGTTTAGTCAGCCATTCAGGACGGCGCTGGACTCTTCCCTTCCCAGTCTCAAGAGCCAAGCCCGGGGCCACTGGGGCTCCTCCACACCACTTGTGGACTCCATATTCCGCCTCAGCCAGGAAGCATATAATGATGGGGAGGGGATGGGAGGGGAGCCATACCATTCTCCCCGGAACGGAACTGAAGAAAAGGGAAAAGCCAAATGTGAGCATCCACAGAGCCAGGAGCACCTACATAACTCTCTGAGGCCAGCCCCAAGCTGATGGAAAATAGGCAGATGCCTACCGGGCGGCAGGATTTTAGCGATGCTGAGACATCATCTCCTGAAAGAAAAACACTGCCTTCCCCCGCAAACCTGTGAATGCCTAAAACCTCCGGCTGCCAGCTCAGCTCCTGGACTTACAAGTCTTTGGTCCCATTTTGTCTGACCACGTTGCACCGGCTGAGATAAACCATGGGCTGCCGGCTGAGGCTGGCGTACTGTCCTGGGAGCCGGAGCAGACGTGGTCACTATGAGCAGAACAGGTCCGGGAGTAAGGGTCAAAGCATGGCTGAGGGGTGCCCACGCACACCCCTTCCGTAATCACAGGACCCAGGGCCAAAACATAAAACACTTCAGGCACTCCAGCTTCACTCACTGTGATTGTCTCACTTTCTAGTTCTTTCCTCACCCTTGCTGGGGTTTTTCTCTGGCTGCTCTATTTCAATGCCCACTCAATGCCCTTTTAATTTTCATCTCGTTTCTAGTACCTTCCTTGCAGCCTTGGATCGACAGTGGGCTTCTGCTTCCATGGCACTAGGACAAGGAACTATCACCAAGAGATTTTGCAGATAGAGCCTGTCAGACAGACAAGGGCTGAGCTCCCGCTCTGCCTTTCACGAGCCAAATGTGCATGAGCGAGTTATTTTAAACTTCCCTAATCTTCGGTTTCTTCATCTGTCAGATGAGGTCACTAATACCAGCCACATAGGGTTATTGAGAAGATTAAATAAGATAAAGGATGTAAAGGCCAGAGGCTGGTAGGACGTCAGGAATGGTCACACTCAACCCCTGGCTGTTCCCAGTCCCGAGCAGCTGTCCAAGCCCAGCCCAGCCCAGCTGCCTTCCCAACCAGCCAGCCTCGTCCAGAACCAGCTGAGAGCGGGGGCACAGGAGAGCAGCCAGGCAGTGCTGGTAGGGGGGTGGCGAGGAGGTAAATACTGTCATCAGATCCAAAGGGAGTAGGGGCATGAAAAGGAGGAAAAGTCAGAGGCCAGTGCTGGTGAGGCTCCACACTAGGGCTGAGACTAAGGCAGTAGTGTTTGGGGCTTAGTGGTCGTGGTGCTGACTATACGGCTCTTCAGGAAGGCCTAGGGCTTCAAGGTGAGCAGCTAGACAGAACAAGCTTAAAAGGATGTCCATGAAGGGTAATAGTTTATGCCCGCCCAGGCGATGGGCACCTCAGGCTGAAAGTGTTTCCCTTTCCTAGGACAAGGGCACCAGACCCTGGAGGAGAGAAAGGAGAAAGGTATCAAGGGGCAGGACAGACTCAGAAAGGAAAGAACTGCAAGTTTCTTCAACACCAGGCAGTAGATGTATCTTGGGTCCCCAGTACCAGGCACAGGGCATACATGGATGAATAAATATCATAACATGAGTTGCTTTCACACTCTCAAGAGATTGTGCCTGCCCCACTGCCGCCAGCATCCCCACACCGGGTCACACAAAAGCCACCCATGGGCAGCAGCTCCTGATGGAGGCATCTCTCAGTCTCCCCCACGTACACCTGCCCTTCCTCGCTCTTCTTTCCTGGGCGCTACACCCCAACTCTTACGAGGCAATTGTTGAGATAGTGGTTGAGATAGTGACCGGAAATGCCAACCCTGGGACAGGACTATGTCAGCTCGAATCTTCGTTCTGGTTGGGATTTGGGCACATTATGTGTCCTCTCTGAACCTTGAGTTCTTCATTTGCAAGACTGGACACTGCAATTCCTCCCTCCCAAGGTCGTGTGAAGGTTATGTAGCTTAACACATGCAAAGTGCTCTATTAATATAATAGAAAATAT